TGCTCACAACAGCTGACTGGAAACTATCGCAGCACTTTAATTATCTCGAGTAAAAGATGGAGGCCACGTTATCAAAATCATCATTCTGCAGAATTTCTTGGAAATAAACGAAAACTCATATTGAAGATTCAAAACATTCGTATCATCTTGAGACATGGATCTCTCTGGCCAAGTTAGAACGGGCTTCTATACACTCGCTATTCTCTAGATCATCGCGATACAAAGTATAGACGCGACGTTAAAAACTTTTTAGAGTGGTGTACTCTGAGCCAAAAGCTCAAACAAATAAATATTCGGAAAAATAATGTTTAGATGAAGTTGTGATAAATGTCTGATGACTCTAGTCAGTCCAATATATGCAGCAGAACTACATTTGACTTCATTTTCCAAACATTTATTTTGTTGAGATTTTCGATCAGAGTAGCTCATAATGGATTTGGATAGGGTCCGGCAGACTCAGAATTTCAAACTCTCTGAACTCATATATATCCCAAATAAAACGATGGTCAGAGCGTATTTTACCAATACTCTAATTTCTAGGCTTTTAAAATCCTAAAAATTGTTCCTCAAGCCTTCAAAATCTTTTTCATTTTTTGAAAATCTGGTTTATTTAAAAGTTATAAAAATAAATGAACCACAAAGAAAAAAGATCTCCCCGTAGAAACTTTGTTCGCTTGGACATAATAGAAGACGTCAAGCTTACGATATGAAAACATTGACAATTTCTTATTAAAACTAATATAAAAGATGTCGTTTTGTAAATAAGAAAAATGAACTGTAGGAAGAGGAGGATTGTTTCTTGGCAATTATTTTTTATAATGGTCGTTGTCAATAAACAGTAAAGAAAAGAAAGAAAGAGTAAGACACTTGTGTAAAATTGAAACACTCTCGAGAACTCGACAACAAATAATGGCTACAGCTACATCGCCTCGTCGTGAAACGAACGCACGATTGCGCCAAACTGGACCCTTAGAAACGGATGGTTTTACTGTAAAATCTCTTCTAAAAAATGCAAAAGTATATATCCTAATTTGTTTATATTGATGTTGTGTTTATGTTCAACAAGAAATTCATCTTAGGTTAATGCTCCACCATCAGCTGAAGCAACACGTATTCGTAATAGCAAACCAACAGCTTTTCGTAAATTTTATGAACGTGGTGACTTTCCAATAGCACTTGAACATGATACAAAAGGAAATAAAATTGCTTGGAAGGTATAAAAAAGAAATATATTTTTTTTTCTATGACGAACTATTATAATCTTAGGTGGAAATTGAAAAACTTGATTATCATCATTATTTACCTTTATTTTTTGATGGTCTTTGTGAAACTGAACATCCATATGATTTTTTTGCTCGTCAAGGTATTCATGATATGCTTGAACATGGTGGAAATAAAATTTTACCTGTTATTCCACAACTTATTGTACCAATAAAAAGTATATTTAAATAATTCAAATGTACAAAAAAAAGAAGACATAATACATAACATGTTTTGTTTTTTTTCTTATGTTTAGATGCATTAAATACACGAAATCATAAGGTTATATGCACAACATTAAAAATTCTTCAACAATTAGTTATGTCAGCTGATATGATTGGTGAAGCACTTGTACCTTATTATCGTCAAATTTTACCAATTTTTAATCTTTTTAAAAACTGGAATTGTAAGTGTAGACGTTATTTTTTTGCGTCTTAATTAATAAATCTTTATTTCTGTTTAAAGCAAACTTGGGTGATGGGATTGAATATGGACAACAACGACGTGAAAATATAGGAGATTTAATAAATGAAACACTTGAAGCCTTTGAACGAAATGGTGGTGAAGATGCATTCATAAATATCAAGTATATCATATTTTTTAAAGAAAGAATTCTTTTGTTTAATATTTTCTTTTAGATATATGATACCTACCTATGAATCCGTTATGCTCAATTAAATGATTAAAACAAAAAGAGATTGTGGTCTTCATTCTTTATAACTTTTTCTTTTAAACTTCTTTGTTTCTTTTTTTTTCATGGACAATCATCAGTATTGTACTATATTTTTTTGCGAAGAAAATATAACAAAGAAGAAATGAACTGATCTTGACATGTTTGTGTGAATAATATTCAAAGTATATTTGAATATATATAAGATTAATTGAAAATTTCATTGATTTTTATACTATTTCTTTTTTGGTTTTTTTCGAGTGAAAAAAAACCTTACGAGTATTCGGTATATCGTTGAATACGTACATAAATCTCATTTTGCATTATTGAACATATTCTAAGTAGTATGCGAAATGTATTATTAGCTGTATCAAGAGTTTTAGTTATAAATAGAATAATATTTATTATAAACATGCAAGGGTATAACTTATGAGCAGGAATGTGACACCTTTCGGCTTTTGAAAATTGTCCACTTTGTGTCTCTCCCTGCCTCCAGTGCTGAGTTACGCATCTTTCAATATGAGTTTCATAGATAAGAAATCAAATTCAATTTTTCATTGTTGTAAGATTCGGATATTTTATTTTATAGACATATGTAGTACTGATCTAGAAGTTAAATCTCTTATGTTAAGTCATTAGTATATTTTTTTATTCTCATCGATCATTAACGATTTCGAGTACCATTTCTTAAGCAAATATTAGTGAAGACATAATCAATTGGAGTTGAGCCGTTTGATATATCAATTTCAGTGAGAAGTATGTAATAAAATTTGTATATAGAAAAGGTTTTTAATCAATTATTTATTAAGACTGTGCAAAGAAAAAGAAATTTTATAAAAGAGATCTTTATCTAAAGATGTTAATTGAAATAACTTAAAATTTTAATATTGAACCTTCTTTATTATCATATTTTAAATACTATAATACATTGCACATTTTTACATCAATCAATATTCAGAAATTAAACAATATGTTAATAAGTTTAATAAAGTTTCTTATGTTATTTAATTTTCCAAATGAAAGTAATTTCTAGATAAACATTTGATAAATATTATCCTATTGAGACATTTGATCATTGATGAATTTTTGTCGATTAGCTCAAAGTGACAAATATATTTAAAGAATTTTAAAAATTTTTTGGTTTTTTTTCTGAACTACTTTATACTTTTAATCTTTGTTTGTGGTGAAAATAATATTCAAGAATATGATATTTTAAAAAAGAAAAAATCTTCTCTCTTTATTAATAGCTCATTAATCTGAACTTAAAATGATTTAATGGTATCAACATGTCAATAAGTTAATTAAATTTAATATATCAATTTTCTATTCGCTACATCACATGGTATAAAAATTTTAATACCTATGAGTTTGTGTTCTTTTTTTCTTAGAATACAACAAGCAATTTTACTAGCCAATCTATACGTTGTGTTTAACTATTAGAATGATAGTTGCAATTGTTGATATTTTAAATTTTAAAAAAATTTTTTCTTTATAATAAATGACATAAATGTTTCAATTTCGATAAATTTTTTTCTTAAATTTAATATTTGGTTAATATATGGTTGTATATCATCATTCGTAAGTGAAATTAACAATGATATTGGTAATATTTGTAAATTTTTTTATGTTCTAGTTTTAAAGTATGTCTTGTTTCTACATGTTTTCAAAAATAAAGATATATAGTATTTATTAAAATAATTTAATAGTTCATAATATTCATCATTTTTACAAAGTAATAAATTATTTCTTAGTAAATAAGTTATTAATGATCATTGGAATTATACGATAATTTAATTTAAATAACTTTCATATAAATCACAATCATATTTAACTAATATATCGACCATATTATAATTATCCATAATAATATCATGTCCTAAATAAGTCATAGGCTAATGATCACCATGATTTAAATTAACATGAAAATTACTTAATAAACGGTTCATTGATTCAATATTACAAAGTAACTTTGCTATCTGCATAGAATAATTAAATTGGGTTTGAGTTTTGTTCGACTATTAGGATATTTATTTATTTGGCTTTCATATTTTCATTTTCTTAGTAATGACTATGGAAATTCATCATTATTGTCATTGAAACTATCATCAGCATTGTTAATACTATTTGTTGAATTTCCAATACAATAATCAATTATATTACTTAAATCATTATCTTCATTTAAATCATCATCGACATTATCAAAAGTCTTATCAAAATGTATTTTTGATATAGATATATCAAATACAAAAACACGAGAACATAAAGATCGATTACGAATTAACATCTTAAACAAATTAATAGTCATCATTAGTATGAAAAACGTAATAAAATAAATGAATAAATACTGACAATGAGTAGTATTAAATTCTCTATACTAAGTTACACATAAAGTACTGTACTTAATTACAAATATAAAACATACATTCTATTAATGGTGTTAAATTTTTAATTCGAATAAACACAAGGGAAATGAGTTGATATATGCACCAATTTGTTATTTCTGTAAACTGATCAAAATGTAGAGAAACAGAAAGATTGAATTAAATTTACAATAAGCTTGAAAATTTAATTTTTTTTTTTGGATAATATTAGCCGAATAAACTATCTATCATATCTGTGGAACTATCACTTATAAAATTATTATTTACATTCATGATCTATTTTCTTAGAATTTCGAGATTTCAATCGTTTTTAATTCATTGTAAGGATAAACTTAATTGTTGGAAATAATTTCAATGGTACGTATAAATAAATGAATTACACGAGTATATATATACACGTTTTAACACTCCATCCTCATTCATACTAAAAGACATTATTATTGTGTTGCGTTTTTCGTACTTTTCTTTCTCGAGGCTTATACTTTATAAATAAAAGACAAGACTCTCGTCACACACACAAATATACATGACATGGAAAATAAATATTCATGGATACAATAAAGCAAGGATAGTTCAATCTTCTTTCTTTGCTTAATTTTATCTTTTATTTTACTATTTCGATCTTTTTTCTTTTTTTCTTTTCTTTAGAATAGGATTATGCTTTCATTACTATCGACAAGCACCTAGTTGCCATTGTTTCTTTCGTTGCATGTTTCTTTTTTTCTTTATGATTCTATGTTGTTTGATTGATTGTGTTGGTTGGATACGAAACGGAAAAAAAAAAGAAAATTTTCTTCAACCGGCAAACATTTTTGTTAATGGCTGTTCTCTTTCTTTTTGATTAATTTAATAGAAAAAATAAAAAAATAAAAAATTTTCTAATGATATATTATACTTCTAAGTTAATAAAGGATAATAGCTTGATAGATAAAATTAATTTTTATTCTAGCAATATTAAATGTCCTGTCAATAACGTACATAATCAATCGATGTTATCATATTTAGCAAAATAACGTAGAAAAAAATGTTTCTACTGACAGAAAAGAAACAAGACGAAGTTTTTTGTCAAATGACTTTAGTAACCTTTGACTGTAATGAATACATTTAATTGGACTAATTTAATATTTAATCAATAGGTTCTTTTTTATTATAAAGTTTTATTGCAGTCTATCAACAAAATGATGAAATTTGAGACTAAAGGTTAGTTAATAAAACTTAAACTTTTCATGAAATATAAAACTATAATCCTTGCTATAGACTGATTTCAAATGAAATATATACGATTGTTAATTATGAAATGTAATCTTAAGTAAAAAATCTTTTGATTGAACCATCGTAACTCAATACATTCGTTTGAAATAATGTTGTTGATCAGTTTGATCTTTTGTTCAACAATGTATCTTGTAATTTAGTAGATGAAAATTTTCTTAATTGCTTTTTTACAATGAATAGCTTTTATCAGATTTCATATTGGATTGAACAAATTCTTCTGTTGAATAAAAAAAAACCAAGAAATATTGATAGAGTAAATGTCAATGATATCTATTTTATTATTATACCACAAGAAAGACTTTTAGAGAAAATTTTAATTTCGCAGTCATGTGTCATTTTATGATAAGATAATTGTTGTCTCATGTTAGCTTCCTTGAATTGGAATTCATAAATATATACAATAAGTTGAGTCTTCTTTCTAAAAAAAAAGAACAATTATCAACTATGGACTGCACTTTATCTGTATTATTTGTATTAAATCTTCTAATAGATTCGATTAAGACACGTATATTATTGATTATAAATTTCTTATCTATAGTTTTGTTCTATATCAGAATTAATCAATGATAATACATCTGTACAAATTATTCCCAATTAGTCAGGTACATTTACTACAACGACAAAATGTGATATACAAAATTGTTCTTATATTTCTGGATTAATAACTTTATCAAAAATGAAACTAAGTTACCTACGATTTATAAGTCAAGTTGAAGGTTATGGTTGCCCAACAAATCGTAATATTTATTCAATTATCGTCATGTCTACTTGTTTCAAAACTGAACTTGTTTTTTTAAATGGGTGGTTTAGTTGATACTACGTTGACTAGTGATAGTCATGTTATTAAATTATACAATCAAAATGCTCCTATGCGTAGTGGAAATGGATTGAGAAATAGTGTAAGATTAATAATATCAAATAATCATATTAAAATACCACTAATCATTTTGAGTATTTTCATATTGCCAAGAACATATCTCGTATTATTTTTTTATATAATATATAATAAATTGTTTCTCAAATTACAGATATCTGATAAAGTAAGTGCGTATTCTTGCTTTATTGTTTGACATAATGTTAAAAATTTTATAACATTAATTTGCCTTGATATCGGACTAAGTTATATCATTATAGAACACTGATCTATTCATTAGTCTTAATTATTCTTTAAATAGATATAAAATGTCAGCTACATTCTAATCTTAGACAATCATTAATTACTTTTTGAAGCTCATCATCTTCGTAAAACATTCAAAAAAAGTATACGTGAAAATAGTGTTCCCTTTCGATGTAATTTTAATTTTGGCATAAGCTTCAGATCTATAGTTCAAGGCACGATTCGTGTGATTATCTTCTTATATCTCAATGTTAAGCAAATAAGATCAGATATCTATTCAATCAAATGATATAAGATTCTTCTATGAATTTTTAGCAAACTTTCTTGAAATCGGACATCATTTTCATACATTTTCTGAATGTTTTGAGACGATGATAGGTTTTAAAATAATTTGATCTTATATAATATGAGATTAAAAGACGTCTGGAGTTGTTCTCTTTCAATTGCTGAAAATCATAGATTGCTAGCTGTTGGTGTTGTCGATTCATTGAGGTTACACCGATCCGCAACTAATTCTGGCGTAGACATTAAATGTGATATAAGATAATATTTTTGTACTTATGATTTTCTTTGTATGTCTCATTTCAATTCTAATTAACTTCGTATTCGAACATAAGTTGAAATTGTTATTTATCTATTGAATCATCGTATTGACTTAATGATTAAGTGTATATAAGATTAATTTCAAATAATCGTATTATCGATATTGACAATTCAGCTGTTTTACAATATAACGAAAATGTTATTCGATAATAAAATATGTTTTTTTTTGTTTATTTGTTTCGCTAATAAATAGAAGTATTATATTCTCTGTTACTAAAATTGTTTTCTTAGTCTGGTTGATATTATTTACTGATGAAAGAAAAAAAACGACGAAAAAGAAAATTCATATTCATGTACAATTAACAATCAAATGTAAACAAAAAAAAACAAAAAAAAATTGTTTTTTAAATTAATGTAATTTATTCATGTGCATAAGTAGTTTTTTCTGCCAAAACTCATTATGAATAATAATGGCATCACATTGAATTGAAAAATGTCGAATTGGAATATTCGTAAAACGTTTACTACCTGAATTATATCTACAAAAAAACAAAAAACAATCGATTAATTTTATTTGAAGATCTTTTTTTTTGTAAACAACAAATCCATACTTGAACCATTTTTCTACCATAATTTCAGTAATAATATTAGGTCCAACACCATATAATTTTTCAATAACATCTGTTTCAGGTATGTACATATAGACAGCACGAAATTGAAGACGATGATCTCGAAAAAGAATGATAAAATGTCGAGCTTCACATACATCAATTTCCTATTGAAATTTAATCTTTATGTAAAAAGTATTTTAGAAAAATAAAAAAAACGAAATATTTTACTCGAGTAACAATATCACGTTGTCGTTCATTAGCTGGACCAGCAAGAACAATTTGTTTAAATGCATTAAGTATTGTTTTTTTATTTGATTTTGTTGATAAATGTGTTTGACTTCGAGCAAGACGTGATCCTTAGGAAATAAACGAAGTTTTATCTATGTAGAAAAAAGTACATTATTAATTAATTTTTACCTCCTGGTGTTGATAAAGCTATAGATGAAAGTGAACCACTTAATGGTGATTCAATTGTTAAATCAAATGCATCATCAAGTAAATTAAATGATCGCTGTTGTTGTTGTGATTGTTTATTAATATTATTATTATTATTCATAGAAATATTCATTAGACTACCACCAAATAAAGCTGATGGTCTTGTTGTTCGTCTTATTGGTATTGTTGCTTTAGAATTTAATGATGTAAATGAATCATAATGTTCATTGATATTACATATACTTGCAGCTCGATTCATTTTTGATCGAGATGCCTGTGTTGATGCTATTAAACTTGGTGATATAAAATCATATCGATTTGTAGTTCGTTTTGGTGTTTGTACTAAAAACAAAAATAAAAGAATTGTTCAATATTTATTTGAAATGAATAATTAATTATATTGACATGATTTTTTTCCACTTGCTGTACTAAATAAATCAAATGTTGAACCACCATAACTAATATCATCATCAAATGAAACAAATGATTGCATAGATGCTTTTCGTTTTAAACGATTTCGATTTCGAGCAGCTGCAAAATAATAATCATTGGATGACGGTGGATCAGCTTCGAACCGTTTTTGTTCAATATGTGCTTGTAAAATTGTTTTACGACGTTGATCATTTTCTTGTCGTCTTTGTGCAATATATTCTTCATAAAGACGATATTCATTTTGATTATCAATAGCTGTTGTTAAACGTTCATTTTTTTTTATTAATTGTTCTTCACGTCGTTGAATTTGTCGACGTATCAGTGCATCTTTTTTTGCTTGCATTCGTTCGAAATCTTTCGACTAATATTAAATATGATAAATTTTAAATGAAAATACAATTAATATAGTTACTTACAGTTAATGGAGCACCGAGTGGAATAAATACTAGACTATCATCTTTGACTGGAATGTTTTCAGGTTCTGTATTACTACCTATAGATAGATAAAAAAAGTTTATAGTAAAAATTTTGAGTTTTTCCACATGTGAAATACGGCATTCATGTAACATGTGTTTCACCTTCTAATATTATAATATCAGAAGATGGAACACTTCTTGATAGTGAGAAACATTAAATTCAATCTTTCTATATAGCCACTGTAGAGCAACTACTTCATAGATACTCTTAAACAGACAAAATTGATTTTATACATAAATTTTAATTTGTAATAAAAACTAAGTATTAGAAAAAGACAATGAGAAGATTTTCCTTTGATATGAATGAATAATCATCTCCTGATAAGTGAACATCTGACAGCTTGGTACACAACGTCAATTTGACGTTGACTTCTTCTCAATTCGTCGGTCGAATTCTATACAAACTATCTACATGTCGATTATTTTCATGTCATATTATGGTAATAAACTGCAGCAAAAGTATAGACGAGCTAGAAAGTTATCTATTGGATAGTTAGCTTGACAACTTGTTTAATGTTAGCTTTTAACTATATGATATCCTCGTTTCAATAAAATACCATTGAAGTATCGGGTATATTTGCTAGAGGAAAGTTGCAAGTTTTTATTCATAAATCAGCAGCATATTGCCACATTTGAAATCTAGTACGATTTCCTTGAATACAACTGTGGATGGTTCTTTTTAGATACTTTCATCAGTGCTCAAACACAAAAAAACATTTTAGTAGCGCTTTTTCCACTAATCATTTCAATACTAATGTTTCCCTATTTTCATTAATAAATGAAAGTGCTAGAATGAAAATACTCAAGAACGTATAAATTACTCTAGAACAATTTGATGTTTTTTAGTATTTTGAGGTCAGCACTGTCATTTATTGATAAAAATCGAAACTTCTTTTTCACTAAAATGATCAGTAAAAAAGCTCTACAAAATTGAAAATATCAAAAAGTTTTTGGATACATTCGCGTCCTTGTAATTAGCTAATCCTGCAAATACTCAACCAAAATTTAACTATAGTCGTTCAGATTACTCACAAATTTCCTGTATAAGAACACTCGAAAGGATTCTACGAAATCTCGAAAAAGTCAAATTGACTAATAAAAACTCAAAGATTGCAAATAAATTATTTTAATAATTGAGAAAATTTCATAACATAACAATCTGAATACTATTACTGCGATTTTACTAAATTTTTTGTCCATGAATAAATACTTGGCATTTTCCTCTATCATTAGAAAAAAAAATTAACTCATTCGATAAAAATATAGTAGACACATTCTATTCTTTTTGTTTTTATCTAGTGGGTTAGTTTTAGAACACACAGCACATCACTAGCTACTCCGCTATGTCAATTCAAAAAAGATGGATGACAAAGTATGAATGATTGACACAAATCATCAATCATGATTTGTGAACGTATGAACATTCATTCTATGATATTCAAAAATTTACCTTTTATTAACGAAATATATATTTTACCATTTGATTTCGTTTCTGTTGCAATCGGTTTTGATTGTTCATCAGTTGCACGGCTAGATGAAAATCTCTTTAATTTATCTTTAATATCACTTAATTCAGCACTTAATTTATTCAATGCTGGTGTTGAATGATATTGACTTTTCTTATTATTTGATAAATATGACGTTCCTCCTCCAACAGTTCCAATCGGTCGATTTATAGAAGAATTTGATATTGATAAAGTTGGTTTTATTTGTATATCGGGTATTTCCGTACCAAATTGTTTTCTCCATAATTCTCGTAAAACTTGTATAATTGCAAGCATTTCTTCTTTACTTAATGGTTTGCTTAAATCGACAAGAGCTGGATTTTTTATTGTTGTATCAATAATATCATCATTATTTATTGTCTTTGCACCATCACTACAGCCTGAATCACTTGGCGATTCTTCCATAAGACATGGTAATATAGATGATGTATGATAAGTATAATTTGTAGATGATCGAGATTCATCATGTGGAATATAGATATTCTATAAAGTAGCATATGCATAATATCAACTCAGAAGTCAACATTTTTTATTAAGTATTTACCTCAAGTGCCAAAATTGAAGATGACGAAGCACAAGGAGAAGAGGATTGTTCTCCTACTATAGTTGAAGAAAGCACTTGATCTGATTGAGTAGAAGCTGATGATGACGAACAATAACGAGATAACCGTTGTTTTTTAGCATCAAGTAATGCTCTAAGAAAAGTTATATATCATATATTACTGTTTAAATGTGCATCAGACTGATATGGATCTTTCTTTCTTTATATGTATATATATATATATATACATGTCATGTCATATTGAGCGTATATGCTCAAAATCATATATTTAATCGATTTTAATATATAGACTATTCTGCGTTCTTTTTTTTTTTTATATTTCATATCACTTGCTGTCTTACGTTCAATTTATGCATATGCATATCAACCGTCACGCAATCTATGCACTGTAGAGGATTCTTTATTAATCCTATAAATGTCCTTTGTTCATCTGATTTTTATTTCTTTCTTTTCATTGTATTATTATTATGACAGACTTTGTATAAAAATCAGTCAATACTACTACTACTTTAAACTCATTTGAATAAGAATATATTGATATAATAGCACTCAATTCAAAAGAAATATTACATCATCTCAATCGAATTAAAAAAATATTCTCACCTGACACGATGTAATTTTTCTTGTAATTCATTATTATTAATATTCATTGATGAGATAAATGAAGAATCATGAGTTGTAGCAGCAGCAGCAGCGGCGGCAGCAGCATCTAGCCTTGACTTAGCTTGTGCTTGCCATGTTGTTGTTGGTGGTGAGATATTACTTGGTGGAGTTTTCGCTGATGCTGTTGGTGTTCGAAAATCACAAGATGATGATGAGGATGATGATGGAGAATAAAATTCATTTGTTTTATTTTGATAAGCATTATGACTTTGAGCAATCCAACGTGATACATAACTTGTTGGTGTTGTTACTTCAGAATTTGAAGTACTAACAATAGTCGTCATTCTCGTCTGTATTGTTCAATTCGTTCTTTTTTTTGTCTCTTGTTTTAGATATTGATAAGATTCATACAATCTAATTGTGACATACGATATAGATAAAAAAAAATGTGTAAGATAATGTTTGGCCCCGGTTTAACAGTCGTGCGTCAACATGTCACTGACGGGGAAGTAAGTGAGAATATGTATATATGATCAAGAGAGAAAAAGAAAACGAAAAAAAAAACGAAATGACATACATAGACAAAAGATGGTATAGAAGCTATTTGAATAAGATTAGCCTCAGGTGAGAATTCATATATATATATATATATATATGTACAGAGAATATATTGAGCTCATCGTACCTTCAAACCAAACAATTGACCACTAATTCATGTATACGTATATACAAACGTAAAGAAATGATGCAATCGAAAATTTGATACTCATGTGAATGAAATATAAATTGGAGAGAGAGAGAGAGACAGAGTAGTCACTCTTTCTGCCTACTCTTTTTATTTCATCATAGAAAAATTTCATTTCTTTTTCAATGTTATACTAACAAGGTTGTGACTATTATCATTTATTATTAACAAACTATTATTCAACAATAAACTAAATAGTATACATGAGACAGTAGTTCATGAAAAAAGAAAAAAAGACTGATGTCAGTCTGACGTACGTGATGAGAAATATGTGTGTATACAGCAATATAGTCAAGGTAGATAGCAACGAAGACCTTGCTCTATTTTTTTCAATGATTCTTATAGTGCTTTTTTTTTGCTAAATGATGATACTTTTTTCCTTCTTTCTTTTTTTTACCTTTGCAATCACAGATATCAATGTCATGAAGCTATACCCCTGAAGCGATATCATTCACAGAATGCAATAATAATAATAGTAAAAAAAGCTGCTATTTGTCTCACTAAGTGTCTTTTTATAATCGATCAATTTCAATTTGTTATACATACATTGTATGTTTAAAAGTATTTTGTCTTTTGCGATAAAGCGACAAAATAGAAAGAAAAAGACAAAAGAAAAGAATGAGAAAGTCAGACGAGACTGTCTCATCACTTCAATGAGATCAATGCTCTTTGTGTTACAAGTATGGGTTTCTTTTTGTTTCGAACTCGCTTGTACGTTCATGTATAATATCATACATACATTTGACCTTGTTCTTCTTCTTCTCCGTTTTTTTTTTAAAATGAAGCAAATCGATGAGTTGGTTTGTATGGATGTATAAAAAGAAGGAGAAGAAAAAAGGAGGAGCAAGTACGAGCGGTAAAAGTAAATGATGACAGCAATTGAAATATTGATGAGAGACATAAGTGAGAAGAAAAAAAAAATAAAAGGAAGAAAGTGTAAAATTTAATTGAATTTAATATTCAAATAGATAGTGTGAAGTAAAAAGAAAAAAAGAAAAAAGAAAATTAATAATGTGTCTTTTTTGTTTGAAAAAATTTGTAGCTTTAACAATGTGTACCTGTTAAAATTTAATGATTTGAATGCTTCATTATTCTTTTTGAACCAAATAAATCTCACAATTGGACAGGTTGTCAGTTACAATTACTCCACATATACTATAGTTATTATAATGAGGTCTAATCGAGAACAGATATAATAGATGTATGATGATTTGAGAATAATTTGTATGTACGTGAGTCTTCGTACAAAATCAAACTCGGTATATACGTTATGAACGCACGTGTGAATATATGAACAAGGAGACAAGTAGGTAGATGGGATGCAACTGATGAGAATAGGAGCGGATGGTACAACTGAATGAACATCAAAGAGAAAGAAAAAAAAACCAAACGAAAAAAAAGTAGGTGTTGGAGAGAACAGAATGGTAAAGTAAATCGAATAGAGGTGTATAATAGTATCTACAACGAATATAACCTTGTATCTTTGATTTAGGTTTCAAAAATTGGAATCATGTATACATACATATGGGAATAAAAGACATATGTTTTATAGAATAAAAAGACCTTGTTTGAAAATAGAAAATTCTTCGTAAATATAATAAATTAATAATTGTACTTTAGTTTTTATTAAAATATTAATCAGTTTAAAATTTTCATGAATACTAGTAAAATGAACTATTTAATATGAAATATTATTACAAAATATTTTTTATCATAATTATTCTATCCATAATCATGTGTATATGTGTTCATAGTAAAAATGTATAGTATTAGCAGTATAAATAAAAATGTTTGTTATCTTAAATTATTGATTTATTGAATAAAAAAAAATTTAATAGTTAATATATAATCAGTTTATATTTGGCAACAATTGAGTAATTATTTGAGAAAGTATTTTAATTTTTATAGGTTTTTTTCGCTTATTTATTTGAATGATCCCGGTTATTCGATATTTAATTTAAAATATAACGATTATAAATAAAAAAAAAACACATAATGACGATTTTTTTTCATTTATTTCAATATTTGACGATATACTTGATATATGGCTTCTTGATGTTTTCTATGTTAGAAAAATCTTGACTGGTTTTTGCCAACGATGATCACACTAGTCTTGAATATTTTTCGATTTTACACATTAGCCATGGAGATCCAGTGTATAATGCACAATAAGACATTCATACTGATACCCTCAATAGTTAATATGGATTCACTATTACTACAAGTTATTTCTTTTGTTATCTGAGCGAGGCGGTTTTTTTAGTGTTTGTGATATTCTCATTGGTAGGTTTTTTTCTTGAATAGAAACAGTTTACTAGAAATTAAAATAATGATATTTCGCCCTGAAGATTTTCCCATAGACAGATCTCATAGCTCTTAGAGTTGCCAGAAAGTTTTAGCCGAAAATAAAATATCCAGGCATGAAATTTTCAACAAATAGCCCATTTGCCATAAACATGTCCTAAAAATCGAGTTTACTTGGAAATTCAATATCTTGACGAAAGAGCATTTTTTCGACTGAGACCTTCAGAATCTTCTAAAACTGATTAAACCTATCTATGACTGAAATTCTGTTATTTGATTTTTCAGTGGATGCCTAAAAATGAGTCGAAAGTTCAAGAAAATCCCATAACTCTACTCTAGAAAGCCCATCAGAATGAACCTTTTTAAATATTTTCTAGTATTTTCGAGACTTC